TTAGGGGCGAGGGTGCTGGGGACGAGGGTGTTAGGGTCGATGGTCGAGCCCCTTTCGGTATCACCCTCTTGGTCGAGGCCTTCCGGTCGAGAGTCGGCCGAGACGCGTTAGGTTGAGTCGCGTTAGGCCGAATCGGCACTAATATCCCTATCAACTACTCCCCCCTATTTACGAATACACGGGTCGATACTCGTGTGGTCGTAAATATAATTTCCCCACGATCCGTTCACGTCTTTGATTTTGGCATCCAAATTACACCCTTATCTTGGGCCAACTACATACGTTGGTCGATCTATTCAACGCCGCGAAACGAATTTTCTACTTCTTTTATTTATTATTATTATTTTTTTTTTACCGTGTGAGTCGACTCTACGCACGCGGTCGTGTGGGTCAACCAGATTGACCGGGGTCGTGTGGGTCGACCGAGTCGACCCTACACGCGGGATCGTGTGGGTCGATCGTGTCGACCCTACACATTCGGTCGTGTGGGTCGATCGAGTCGACCCTACACGGGGCTTGTGTGGGTCGACCGTGTCGACCCCACACGTTCGGCTCGTGTAGCTTTGTGAGTCTTCGTCCTGGACAACAGGTTCATGGTCATCCATAGACCAAACATACTTAAGACAATTCTTCGACTTGCAGAGGTCGACCTTGTCGACCCACTTCGCCACAATCAGACGTATCTACCCATGGGTCGATGGATAGACACTTCACCGTGATCGACCCACTTCACTTGGTCGATCATGCATCGGCCGTTAGGTTGATGGGTCAAAGTCCAATTTTTCTCTAGGTTTTTTCCTGGTCGCTTCGATATTGCGTAGGTTTGACCGCCTTGGATGCACCTCACCCCAATACTATAGGTATTAGCTATGCGTCTCATTATTTGTGCTTGTGTTACCTTCTATTTTAGCCATGTGCATATGAGCCCTTGGTTTTTTTCCTAGGGGATAGTTGTGGAAGTTTCATTTTATTGGATTGAGCTAGTCGAGGACGTCAGGTAGCCCCTGTCGTGGTCGACCACG